CAGAGCAAACAGCACACCGTCAGAGGACCTTGAAACATCCACCTCCACACAGTCGACCCGGGCGTCCAGAGCCATCCGAAATGCGTCCATCTGAATCATGAGATCCCAACAAAACCAACAACTCATCAACACATTTACCTCATGCCGAACAAAATGGAGAGGAAAAAAAATCTTTGTTATAGAACAAATTCGAATTCATTGAGACCGTATCAGTCTCCCATACCGACCGAGTTGGGGAAGGCGTTGGTGGAGTCACCGCCGTGCGCGCACACCATGGGTGGGCTCACGACCCACCCGCACTTCCTCTCGCGCATCTGGAACACAGCAACCAAAAAGGATTAACAAACGTGTCAGAGAAGAAACCGATTAAATCGAACAAGTGAAATCTCGGAGGAGCGTAAAATGCTCCTTATTGAAGATCGGCTGGGGGGCGCGTACGCGGTGGAAACGGCGGAGACGGAGGTGGAAGAAGGCCGGCGGGACGAGTGCGAGGAGCGCGAGGAGGAGGAGGAGCCGGAGGATGGGGCTGGCCGGGAGGAAGCGGCAGAGGCGGGCGAAAAGGAGGTTCGCGGGTGCGGCGGAGCGCTTGGCGGCGGGGAAGAGGGGGAGCGGCGGCGGCTGCCGCCGGCGCCCGAGGAGGATCCCCCTCATTCTCTGCGCTTTTCCCTGAGGCCGCCTCCGTTCGCTCCTTGCAGGCCACTGAAGCCACAAATGGAGAAAATTAGCCCAGTTGCCAGTTGGAGTAGATCAGTTGTCAAAACCCGTCTAGACAAAGAAATAAGAAAATGAGCAAAGGGGTTAGGGAGCTGACATTGAAAATTCCAGCCCAGGCCCTGGCCCGCCCGGCCCAGCTTTTTGTTCCGTACCCTTTGACAAGCGCTCTCCATTCTAAATTATAAACTAAATTTATCTAACTTTTAATAAATTTATATAAAAATATCATCTACAATATCAAATCTGTTCATTTAAATTTTCCATAGTGTCTTCATAGTTATTTGAACTATATATGTTAATATATCTTTCTAAAATATAGGAGTTCCAATGTTTGGCTTAGGACAAAGCTACAATAAATTATATTTTGAAGCATGAATCTGAATTATCAACCAAATCAATGATAATTATAATAATGCCTCAAATTGATCCTTGTTGGTATTGTAACATGATGAACCATCACATAACAAAATATATTATTAGAGCATGTTTGGCAGGACGCCTAACAGCTTTCACCCGTCTAGTTCCACTCCACTCCTACCCCAAGTGTTTGGTAGAGCTTCCCAACTCGCTCCACCACCTACTCTAGCTCATGCTTGATGGTGTCAGAGGTCTCAACAACATAAGAGGAGGATGAGCCATGGGAGACCGCCATCTTGGTGGAAAGCGAGGAGGGAGAGTTGTGGGAGGCTGTTGCAGTGAAGAAGGAAGGCAAAGAGTGTGAGCCACATGAGGCCGCGTTGTGGCGGGTAAGACGAGGAGGGTGTGCAACGAGATGTTGCATCAGTGTGGGAAGCAAGGCTTGCCATAGTGAAGGAAGAGGAGACTTTACCATGGCTGAGGATGAAGAGGGACTCATGAGCTCCAATGTGTCCCTAAAGGGGCCGGGCAGCAGGGGGCGACAGAGAGGGACAACACGGTTTCCTGGACTCGGGAGTGCATAAAGGAGACGAGCAGCGGGGCAGTGGAGAGGGGTGGATAAGGAGCAAAGTATAGGGAGTGTTTTTTTCACTCCCTATGTAACAATGATAACAGGAATTGATTTGCATTTTTGCGTATATCCTATGGAGATGGCCCACGCATACACTTTGATTGTCGTGGAGCGAAGCGAGGAGAGCCTTAGGGCTAGTTTGGCGGAGCTCCTCCTGCTCCAAATTCTCTGTGGAAGTTGTTTCTCTCTGAGAAATGATTCTCTAACTGAAATTGATTTCCTATGATCTCCAAGATAAACTCTATGCATACAGTGATTATGTGCATGGAGAAGCTACTTTTTTCAACTCCCAGTCTTCTAGTTCATTTTCAGATAATCACTTCTTCGTAAAATATTGCTTGGAAGTTGCTCTGGAGCTCTGTCAAGGTGGCCCTTAGCAAACACGCTGTCCGGTCAAACTTCAATCACGCCACCTCTCAACTCCCAAGCAGCAGACCAGTCCCGAATCCCGATGGTGCCCCAATGTCTAGCCGTCACAAGCCATGTACGGTCACCGAGCAGACACACGGTTTCGAGTTGGCCGCATCCCTGACCAAATATATAGTACATTTCTCTTTTCAGATGAAGTCGCAGGAAGGTAACAGGACAATGGGTAGTCGCCTATGCAGTGGGTGTTTCAGTTGGAAATGCCAGCTCTGACAGTTGAGGTGCCAGTGATACCGTACCAGCACCAGTGAATGCAAACCTGGATGGGGCAAGACTGCAAGAGATAGTGCTCTAGTGGACGAGATGACTAGTTTTGTTGCTACCATTTGTGTTGTATATCAGTCTCATGTCTCACGCTGTGTTTAGTTCGTGAATTTTGGGAATTTGGCTACTGTAGCAATTTCGTTTTTATTTGACAATTATTGTTCAATCATGGACTAATTAGGCTCAAAACATTCGTCTCGTAATTTCCAACCAAACTGTACAATTAGTTTTTTTCGTCTACATTTAATACTCCATGCACGTATCGCAAGATTCGATGTGATGGCTACTGTAGCACTTTTTGGGAAAGTTTTTGGAAACTAAACAAGCACTCAATTCAAATGTCTAGTTTTTTACCAAAACTGCATAAGTCATTCGGCATATTCCAGTGTTATGTCCCAATTCAAATGTGTGGCGTGCATTTGTGCTTGCAAGGGAAAACATTAAAAATGTAGATGCATGACTACCAGTATCAAGTATCATAGGGACTCTGAAGTCTGATCATGAACGATTTCTGGTGTGACAAATGCTCTGCATTTGTTCTAAAAACTGTGGGAATGAAAAGTTGCAGAAAAATTAGCAGAGAACCAAAGGAGCTTGACGGCTTGACCCTGGCAGTCTGGCCTGCAGTTAACACGCTATGTTACTGCTAAAAAACTAGAAAACATGTGCCCTGTCTGGTTTTGGTTTCAGTTTTTGTTACTAGCACGGCTTATAGCTTACACAAATAACATATGTTTCCTCCTTAATTTTGATGCAAAGTATATGCCAATTTATGAGTGTGTCAAATTTGTATTTGACACATAATGTGAAATTAGTTCAGTGCCAAATATTGAGGGAACGCTTGCAGAATCAGCAAAATTAAACATAATATTTACCAGGTAGCATTACATCTACTGGAAACTGAAATACCATTCATAATGAACTAGATAAAATCTGTGTTCTGCCCAATTGAGATTTGCATTGAATGTTAGTGAAATTCAGAGAGTTATAAACAGAAATTTGGAAATACAAGGGAACAGATAGTAAGCCATTGTAGAATCTGCATTCAGGTTTAGAATAACAATTCTAACTTTTTACGCAGGGCCTGTATCAGTCTCAAATTTCAGTGAGACGCGCAACGTAAGATTTGGGAATTGCAGTGTGACAGAAATTTTATACAGAATTAGCAATATGGCACAAGATATCTGGGTTACATTATGTCACAATGAACTAGAACAATAATATGACAGAAGCGATGCAAATTTATCGACACATGGGAAGGAAAGTTAAGTGAGTCATTAGTTAATCATTGTGAAATATGCATTCAGTCTTAGAATCTCTAGGCTCTCAATCCTCTCAGCACCTACTTTACATTAGAGACAGAGAACTTCATAACAAAATGGGAATGGCTACAGAATTCTTCCAAAGATAACATAATCGCATTTCAGATTCCACAAAAATATTCTACACTCAAGTTTAAGACAATGGATAGGCAAGGAAAGGAAGACTGATATGTTAAAAAAAAAGGAAAGGAAAACTGAGAATTAGTAAGAACAAATCTAAGTGCACACAAATCTTGTTGCAGAGTGATTATTGAAATTGAAAGGAGGCTATTCAGAGTTCACAGCTTTTTATTATGCAAGCCCTGTATCAGTGTTAAATTTCAGTGAGAGGCGTAATGTAAAATTTGGTGATTGCAATGCACACAAATTTTAAACTATTGTACAGAATAAGAAATATGAGACAAGATGTCCAGGTAATGAAGTAGAGCAATAATCTGACAGAAGCGTTCCAAATTTCTGGACACTTGCGAAGGAAAATTCAGTGAGCCAAGTCCATTCAGGCTTAGCTAGAATCTCCGGTCTCTCAGTCCTCTCAACAACTACTTCATGTCAGACAAAGAAAACTCCATAACAATATGGGTTTGAATACTGAAAATTGTTCAGAAGATGACATAATCACAAATTCACAATTCAGTTCCCACGAACATACTCAAGTTTAATAAGTTGGGTACGCAAGGAAAGCAACACTGAGAATTAGTAATGACAAAATCTAACAATTCAATGCACAGATATGTTGTTGCAAAGTGATTACTGAAATTGAAAGAAGGCTTTGCTTGAGTTCACAGTTCAACCACAATGTAGCATTGTGCTAGACTAATCAACAACCATCATGCCATGAGAACATCACTGATCTGAGCAGCAAGACAAGAGTCTGAAATATACTGTGAATGAGTTAGGATACAGAATCTGACTGATTCAGATCCCTTGCACTTCCAATTCAGTTCTAACCTGTACTGAGATAAGGAAGACCCAAAGCAGTAGCAAATACATGTTCAAACCCGATTGAACAAACAAGCAAATCGAATTGCCATGAACAGCAACCATTGTTTGCTCTTCATTTAGTAAAGAAAAAAGATGCAACACCGCAGACAGAAATCAGAGAACATTGGATTCAGGTTTAGCAATCACTCACTCTGAATATTGCAATCAGCAACTATCTCACTCTGAATATTGCAACCAGCATCTACCAACTCTAAAGATTGGAATCAGCAACTACCTCAGAACGTCAATTAACACGATCTCAAACAAATCAATCTCACGGTAGCCAATGAAAAAATCCTGTCGCCTCAAGGGAAAAGCCAAACCGGAGGAGAGTAGTCCGATGAGTTTGGAGGCGGGAAGCAGCGCTGGATACGGCCTTCGGATTCGGACCACATCCCATTGTCCCTGCAGGGGTACGGCCTGGTATTGGCGTCGCCGACCATGAGTGCCTCGCAGAACACGCCATCATCCAAGAAGTAGATGCCGGGCTTGAAGCCTGGGTACTTATCCTCATCCGCTTGGTAGGACCTGGAGCAGCCATAGCCGACGAACAGAACCCGGCCATCCAGCGTGTCCATCTCGCTCCATTCCCAGGGGTACACAGCCACGGGGAAGTCGCCGCCGTCAGGCATCTTTGGCCGTTTAGTCTCCCGGAACACCTTGAACATGGACGTCGGCTGATTAGCACCAGTCGTGAACCTGACGACCATGAGCAGTTCGCCGCGGGACACGACGAGGTATCGAGCGCGGACGGGGGCGTTCTGGCCGGAGATGCGCTCTCCGGGCGGCATGAAGCGGCGAAGCGCCCAATTGATCTCCAGGACCATAGGATCTTCAGGATTCGTGGTCGGCGTACACACGAGGATTTGGTAGGCTCCGCCACGGGTGAGCAGAAAATGGAAGGCGCTGTCGTGGAAGACGACGTCCTCCGTAAGGTACAGAGCCAGGTCCACAGCCACGTCCTCGCCTGGAACCAATTGGAGCGCCACCTCCCAGCCCATTCGCCAGAACGCAATCCAGCGATTGAAGGGCTGCTGCAAAAACTCGTCTGGGGCTTGCTCCCGCTCCCGCGCGATGATGGTGGCGCCGACGCACTTGGAGTCGTCCGGCGATGACGAGAGCGTGGCGGCGAGCATGACCATACTGTAGACAATCCGGTGTCCCTCACGATCGCGAACGAGCTCTTGCGGGAGTGCGGAGGTTGAGGAGCCCGTGCGCGCGCATCTCGTCGGAGTAGAGGAAGATCCAGGCGCCGTCGTAGGAGCCGACGAAGCGCGCCTCGGGCGGGAGGATGGTGCGGTGGTTGTGGTGGGGGTGGACGCAGCAGCCGCTGAGGACGCAGGCGGCGCGGAAGAAGGCGGGGTCGTTGCGGAAGCGCGAGGGGAGGAGGAGCCACGGGAGCGGCGGGGGCGCGGGCGGCGTGCGCTTTTCCTTGATGAGGCGGTCGATCCTGTCGTGCCACGCCTTGCAGACGAGGGACATGCTGGCGCGGTCGTCCTTGCACGGGACGCGTCCGAGTATCGAAACCACGAGGTCGTCGGGGAACTTGTTGTCCGCCAGAAAGTTCGTCGGCGCGGGCGGAGGCTGGGGTGCGGTCATGGTAGTGGCGGTGGGAGAAGGGACAGGAGGCCGGAGAGGATGAGCGTGGCGCGGCGGCGGCGGGCTCGTCCCGCCCGGCTGCTGCCTGGTACTGGTAGGATGGTGGAGGAAGAAGGCGTTGGGGGTGGTGCGGGATCGGAGCGCCCTTTTTATTTTGGTGCGGAAGCCGGCGGAGGAGCCAGCTGTGTCGGCGTCGACGGCCGTTGCTGCGGGGTTGCGGGCGGGCGGGCGGCTTAGCGGCTTGGGTGGCAAGGAGGAGAGAAAAGCCTGGCCCACCTCGTTTGGGTCTGGTTGTTACGTGGGCCGCAATTGGTTAGGGCTGCGAGGTTGGGCTGAGTTGGATTGTTGGAACCAACTCAGCTGGGAAAAAAGTCTAATTTAAATCTCTCTGCTATCGCGTTTGTTTATTTTTTCTTCCTAAACTATAAAACCAGTTTTTTTCACAGTCTTCAACTTTAAAGTTTGTTTTACACTTTGGATAATTTTGATGGTGATTTTGCTAATATGGCGCCACATCAAAGAGAGGTAAATCGGACTAAGTTGAAAGTCCAGGGAGATAATTAAGACTAAAAACCTTTTAAAATATTTAAAAGATCATAAAAATAAATTTTGAAAAATCCTAAAATCTGGTTTAAACTTATAAAATTCATAGAAATTTTATTTTGTCTCAAAAAATTGAAACTAATTCCACATTGTTTTCTATAAAATAATGTCCTATCTTATGTTGTCTAGCTTAAAACTGTTTGAATCTTGATGGGCCTATTTTGGTGCTTATTTGCTAGTAGAAGCTCTCATATCTATTATAATTAGTCGATATTGATTGTCTGACTACGTAGAAGCGCCGGTAGAGCATCGCCACAACTGTAGTGGGTGCTACTCCCCTAGCCAAGTTAGCCTGCACATGCTCTCATTATATGTTATAATTGGTCTACGTTAACGACCAAGTGACTTTGATGACAACACAAGTGTCATGTAACCACATCGTACTTAATACTATTTAGTGTAAACACAAGTGCCACTCAATCATGTTCATGTCACTTGACTCTATTTGTACTTCTGTACACACATTATTAATTTAGATTTCCCTATCATGGTATGCTCCATAATTCATTGTATAGAACTTAACTAAATTCAATAGTTCTAAATTTATCTAGGATTAGGGGACTAACGCCCACGGTCCTGACGACGCTCCACTAGCGCTTCTACATAAACTAGGTGATTAACATCGACTAATTATAATAGATAATGAGAGCTTCTACTAGCAAATAAGCACTAAAATGAGTTCATAAGGCACCATAAGATAGAGCAGGGTTTTATAAAAAAAATCAGAATAATTTGCCAAGATTAAACAAATTCTATGAATTTTCTATGATTAAACAAGATTTTATGATTTTTTATTGCACTACTTAATATTTAGATAAAATTTTGAAATTTATTTTTATGATTTTTGGATATATTATTTTTAAAATGTTTCTAGTCCGATTTACCTCCTGAACTTTCAATTTAGTTCGATTTACCTCCTTTGACGTGGCACCACATCAGCAAAGCCACCTAAGGTGCAAAAACAAACGGTTTTAAAAGTTGAAAGAGGTCAAAAAATTTGGTTTTGTAGTGAGGAAAATCAGATGACTGCGATAGTTAAAGGAGGTAAATTGGATTTTTTTCCATTGAGTGGTGATATGATGTAGGTGTGAGCTAATAAGCCCATTGATCATTTATCTTTTTCTTTACTCTATCAGTTTTTACATGGTGTATTGTTTTGTTGTGACTCATAAAGATTAACAACGGTTTTGTGTGGGAATCATAGTGTGGACAATGGTTTTCAGTTGCAACATTATGCACCAGGTCAATCCTCTTTAAAAGAACAAAGAACATTGCCCTCGAGGAGTACTTCCCCATGTCACATTTTACACATCGTCATCTTGTTTTGTTTCTTACTCTCTTCCCGTGGTCTTCCCGAGGGCTACAGGACTAAGGTCGGTTGGTTTTTTGCGTGGGAATCATCGTGTGGACAATGGTTTTCAGTTGCAACATTATGCACCAGGGTCAATGCTCTTTAAAAGAACAAAGAACATTGCCCATGAGGAGAGTACTTCCCCATATCGCATCTTACACATGGTCATCCTGTTTCCTTTCTTCCTCTCTTCCTATGGTCCTCCTGAGGGCTCGAGGACTAAGGTCACAGTATGAGTTTCATGTGAGTTTTATTTGCATTTAATATGCTGCCACATATGTGTTTTGATGATATGACAATGCTTTTAAGAAAAGAGAAGAAATTAGTTTCATCTCTTGACACGATTACCAACTCTATATAAGTCACGGAATTAAATTAAATGTCGATAAACCTATGTATTGATGATGGATGTTTTATCCAATTTTCATTTCATTTTACATGATGTATCAGACTTGGAAACAATGCCATAAAACTCTTCATTGAGAAGATCCTAAGGGACCGTCTATTTTGCAGATTTAGCTTTCAAGTATACTCCCCAATTCCACAAAAAGTGTCACTCTCACTTTTTCAAAACTCAGATTTTAACTTTTACCAATATATATATACACACACAAAAATATTAATATTTATGTTGGATAATTAGTATCCTTAGATAAATCACTGAATATATTTTCATAATAAACTTATTTAGAAATACAAATATTGCTAATATTTTCTACAAATCTAATCAAACTTATTTAAGTTTGAGAAAAAAATCTACATAACCCCTCCAACTATTCAGGGTGGACTACTTCACCCCCAAACTATAAAACAGAATTTTCTACCCCCTGAACTTTTTAAAACCGGTCAAATAACCCCTCAGGTGGTTTTGGACGGTGGTTTTGGTACAATGACGGTGGTTTTATCTTTTTCTTTTTTATTTATTTCCGCTGCATCTTTGAAAAATTCATAGTAAATCATAGAAAAATCATAAAATGGAAAATCAAATTTTATTGGACTCCACGTGAGTAGATCTACACAGTAAATATATAATATGGTATGCTTTAGTACAAGGTTTTTGTTATAGCTTTAGATCTATGCTTTTCTGTAATTAAATGGAATAATTCATAGCTGCAGCTTCTATGGTCCAATTGTGGTGAAATTTTTATGGTGGGCTAATTATTATGTGCTTGAACTGTAGTAAAAAAATTCGTACTCATTAGCTAAAAAATGGTTTAAACACAAATCAGACATTCAGAATGGGAACTAAACAAGAGGGAGATGAAAAATGCGAATGACATGCCTTCACTGATTGCAAGCCTATATAAAATAAAATACCAAGCCTTGTTTCCCTCATCCCCAAGATTCGCATTAGGCCTAGATGTTTCCATGCATTGGTACTGCAATTTGAATGGCAGCCTACAACATAGCGTAAGTCACATGATGTTTCATGTGCATGACCGCATGTCCTCGTTGATTGTCCTTTTCTAGAAATTACTCCAGATGTATCATTCCTCCTTACTTGCTTGACAAATCAACACCCAAAAGTAAGAATGAACCTAACTGTACGTGTTACATTGTTACGCGGACATCCGTGTCAGATTCCAAGTGTTGTTTGGCACGTCCCAAGAAAAATTGCCAAATCAGACACCCAAACTCAAACTAGACAACGACACCCGCACCCCTGTCCACATAACAATGGTACCGTGCAATAGGATTGTTACAAATTTAAACAAAACACAGACAGCCGGCAAGAAATTTTATCATATTAAAAATCAAGGTAAATACAAGTGCAAAGAGTGAACAACTGAACATTTCTTTTAACATAGGTATGACTGATGGGGAATGAATGGTGTGTGGGATGTTATTAACAGTCAACAATAGACACAATACACCAGAGGCATTTTGGATCAATCGTTAACCGATTCAAATGGAATGATCCACTCTTATATATAATCTTATGTGTTTTATTCAATAACCCCAATTCCACTAGACCAGATAAAAGCTCTAACTATTGTAGTTATTAAACATGGATCACTTAAAGAGATGTGCTCTCTCGACCCAGGATTAAAGGCCAGTTCATTAGTTTTATTCATCAATCAGGACAAAGTACAAGAAGCAACTGAATACAGATATCCTACAAGTTCAGATATCATCCAGATGTTGTCTAATAACTACACCTATGATCAACAAAAGGCAGTCTGTGTTGGAATATGATCGGTTCGGCTAATTTTGAACTTAATTACGAGATTAATTAAGCGTTAAGCTTTTGGTCCACCCACTCGTCATTTATTTCTGACTAAACAAGAACTGCCGTGATCGGCGGCAACCCTTAAAATTCTAAGGGTTCGCCCCCCTGACCCACAACGCGATTATAAATAAGAGAGGCGCCCCTGGTGTCACAATCTCTCTAATCCACGTGATTATTCATATAACTGATTGATTAGGCGCCGGAGGGTTTAGGAAGGCCGTCTACCCACATCAAGGTACCGTTGCAGATCTACATCGCGTTCTTCACCAACTAAGAGCATCAAGCCTCAATCTAGTAAAGACTAAGATCTACTTCATCTACATCAACTCTTCTACGTCTACGGAGCCACTCAGATGACATCTACAAACTCTGGTTAGTATCAGATTAATTTCGGCATAAGATTTAATTAGTGATCATATTTAGACTAAGATAAGATCCTGTTAGTCTAAGTTCTAATTCAATAATTGGTATCAGAGCCTGCTTAGATCCTAACATGATCCTAGGCCAGAGTGTATTAGTTTTATGCTTCTGTCAAGATCCATTTAGTTTTAATCTACTATATTTTAAGTTGGACATTAGCACGAACTCAAAGCAGATCCATTTCATGATTGTTACGTCAGTTCTAAAGGGCCATTAGTACTGAGATTAGATCTGTTTTCGTGTTTAAGTACAAATGAGTATTAAGTAAGATTGTTTCATAACACTAATTTTGGATTGTGCATATGCAGTTTCAGTTCGCTAAGCAGATATATGATTATGATCTAATGATGATTCCAGTAACATGCACAAGACAATTTTTCTCGCCTGATTAAGTGA